AATAATAATAACAACAGTGATAATAAAAATAATAACAACAACAACAACAACAACAACAACAACGATAATTATAACAATAGTAACAACTGTAATAATAACATTAATTATAATAATGATGATAATAATTAAAAGACGAAAAAGAAGTAGAAGAAGAAGAAGAATAAGAAGAAGAAGAAGAAGAAGAAAAAAGAATAATAATGAGAATAATAAAACAAACCACTTGCCTGGAGACATTATCTGGGTTGTAGTAGGAGTAGAACAAGTCTGCGTACATTTCGTCAAAGACTTTCTTCACCTCTGTCAAGCAGTAGATGGAGAAGAAAAAATGTTCCAAGTAGATAAGGCCTGTGGCGTCCGTTGACTTCAGACTTCCACTTTCTCGTTTGGTCATTGTGGCCTTCACGAGTTCACGAAGGTCTCTCACCGATCTAGGGAAAATGTGTACAATACTGCTGTTTGAGTTTATTTGTTTGTGTAAAGAGAAGCACATCGTTACAATAAAAGTCATTTGGTGCTGGGAAGATGTCACACAGAAACAACAGAAGGGAAGTAAAGACGTAGGACCTACCAGTGGCACCCTCCAACCATCCATTACTGTACTATGAAAAAAGTTGATTTGCGATTTACAGCTACACAGCTCGTGAACACAAACACTTCGTTGGAAAGAGATTCGGATGATAGAAACACTGACAGGAAGTAAATAGAGCAGACCATAATAAGCGTTTCTGTGGGTTGGACGTTTAGCCTGCAGGCGGTTGGGCGTTTTGTCGTCGCATGCAGAAGATCCGATTTGGATTCCAGCGTGGGAAGAGTTTTAAGGGGTATCTCGGTCTTTCTGCTGGGATGTTGTTTTCCTCTCATCCCAGGATGGTTGTCGCAGGCAGAGTCGAAGCCCGTCTCTTAAATGATCTAGATTGTGTCAATGGGGGCGTAAAATACCTATAATTTAAAATAGTAGACAGCCCCCGGGATAGCTGTTGGGTTTTGGGGGAAGGGGGTGCATGCCTTTTTTTTTGGTATAAGGTCATATGAGCGCGCAAGACACATTAAACATTTTTCAGTTCGTAGGAAATTTCGAATTTTGCCCGGGTGGCGGGCGAAGCCTACTCTTATCGATTTTAGACCACCAAAGGATCTTTAACGTGCGCGACTTGCACCTGGGACCTCCGGGATTTTTTCCCCTTGTCCAAGAAGACTAGGTGTAGATCTTTCCTACCAAAAGATCAGGAGTGTGGCTGAAAGAAGGGTCCAAGGAGTAGCAGTAGAAAGGCTGCAGATAGAGACAGGAACCCACGGATGGGGGGAAAGGAGGTGAGGGTGTGACGACAGAAAGTGGCAACGAAAGCAGACTACAGGACATTGCTAGAGAGCAGGACAGGAGGTGAAAGGAAACAATTTTAGAGAGAAAAAAATTTTCGGTTGCTCCCCAGATTCGAACCCGGGACCTTTGAATGAGAGGCGAACACCTTAACCTCTAGGCCACGAGAACCCCCATACATTATTCAAATACTAAAATCAAGTAGAAGCATTAGGACGTCAGCGAAAATCCCGAGGTACTGTACACATAGTTTATATCAACAGTAGTATTTGAGAGCCTAACAACCTATCACTATCACACATTATATTCTATCCCCTCTTTTGCGCTTTAACCACGACAGACAATGACAGCAAGACGGAACATACGCGCAACACAACATAATTAGTACGTGTGAGGTCGTGATAACCTTCTGTAATAGTGGGCACATGACAACAGAGTAATGTATTAGGCCTTACGTTCATCTTACCTGATAGAAAAGTTCACATCACTAACGTCTTCGTTCGAGCTAACGAGGTCGTCCAAGATATACTTGAGACCCTCTATGGAGAAACGAGACATCCCATGGCTCAGGAACTTTTGGAGCGCGTGAGTTTTTGCCTTGAACACTGCCTCGTCTTCCTCATGGTTGTTACTGGGCTGGAGAGGAAAACATAAGGGCAGAAATAAGAAAGTGGTGTAAATTACGTGATGTAGGCCTTCAAGTAGGAAGCTTTGATGCAACAAGTTTAATTATGTAAGCATTTCAGCATAAAAAGAAAGGTTTCACGCTATAAAATGTTAAGAAACAAAGAAAGACTGTTCATCTGAGGGCATAGTTGCAGTACAAGCTAGCAGACATTTATGATAAATAGGAAAAACATGACACCCCCCCCCCC